ACGTAAGCATATGTCATATGTCCGTTGAGCTTACTGAATTTTTTTTTGTTTACAACTTATGATTTACTGCACATTTTAGTTATGTTTAAATGCGTTTATTTCTGCATTTACCGTGTAGTTTACGAATTTATCCCTTGGTCTATGCGATTATCAAACCCAAAAATATCCGGAGCATATGAATTTGTATTATGTCTCATATGTGGGACAACCCCAAATTAAAAAGACAGAAAGATTAACAAGTTGCAATGGCAACTTGTTTGCAACAAGGGCGGCTGAAAATAAAGTTGCAAGTTGCAACCAAAACAATGTCTGGACGATACAAAATGCAAAGAACAAATAAATTTGATTGGCTGAGAGGTTAGCAACTTTGTCTATAAATAGAGATGCTTCCCTCTCGGTTTAACACACCTAAACAAAGAGAAGCAATATAAGTTAGAGAGAGTAATCTACAGATTGTAGTCTGTGAGATAAATAGTGAGTGTCAGTAATATTGTAGTGAGGTATTTTTAATAAAGAGTATTATTTCTTTCAAAATTGTAATAGTCTCTTGACACTACTAAGTTGTAATATTACAGTGGTAATATTGCTTTGTTCGGGGTATTGTATTTACCTTGTTAAAAGAGTTGTTGATATTGTTACTCTCTTGTGTTATTATTATTTTTCGTGGATATTATTTCTGGGCGGGATTATAATTTTTTCCAACAACGTGGTATCAGAGCCATGGCAAATAATGATACGCTGTCTTTTCAGTACCCCCGTCTCACAAAAGATAATTATGAGAAATGATGTCTACGTATGAAAGCCATTCTTGGCTCCCAGGATGTGTGGGAAATCGTAGATAGAGGGTATGCAAAAACCGATAACGAGGAAGCTCTGCCTCAAAATGAAAAAGATGTCTTGGCAAAGACAAGAAAAAAGGATCAACAAGCCCTCACACTCATCCACCAATGTTTGGATGATGTCATATCTGAGAAGGTGGCAGATGCTACCACCTCAAAGGAAGCTTTTGAGATTTTACAAAATTCTCTTCAAGGAGTTGACAAGGTGAGGAAGGTAAAACTTCAAACTCTAAGGGCTGACTTTGAAGTTTTAAAAATGAAAGAATCTGAATGCATTTCGGATTATTGTTCAAAAGTGAAGGCTGTTGTAAATCAATTAAGAAGATACGGTGAGGACATAGAAGATGTCCGTGTGGTAGGAAAGATCCTTTGCACTTTAACACCTAAATTTAATTTTGTGGTGTGTGCTATTGAGGAGTCTAAAGATTTAGACTATATGATGGTAGAGCAATTGGAGGATTCTTTACAGTCCCACGAAGAAAAGATCAAAATGAGACAAGAAGTGCCATTGGAGCAACTTCTTAAAACGCAGGCGTCCTTCAAGGATTATGGAGGTGAAAAGAGCTATCGAGGGAATGGACAGGGGGACGAGGCCGTGATAGTCATGGAAGAGGAAGAAGTAATGGTCAAAACTTCAATAATGAAGTTAAAATCCACCAAACATTCAGAGGTCGTGGCCGTGGATAAAGAGTGGGAAGAGGACGTGGCTACTACCAAAAGAATAATGGATAAATGTATGACAAATAAAAAATGAGTGTTATAATTGTCATAAATTTATCCATTACTCTTGGGAATGTCGTAGCAATGTTGAAGAAAAAGCTAACCTTGTTGACGACAAGAAACAAGAGGATGAGTCAACGTTGTTGCTGACACTCAAAGAAGAAGACGAAGATGATTGTAGCTCGTAGTATTTGGACAATGGAGCAATAAATCATATGTCTGGATGCAAAGAGAAGTTTGTGGAGATCAATAAAACAGTGAGAGGTAATGTGTCCTTTGGAGATACCTCAAAGATTCAAATCGAAGGGATATGTACGATTCTGATCTCCTGTAAAGATGGTAGTCACAAACTAATTCAAGATGTTTATTATGTCCCAAAATTAAAAAGTAATATTTTGAGTTTGGGCCACCTTCTTGAAAAGGAATATGACATTCACATGAAAAATATGCATTTTTGTCTTAGACAATCAAGTGGAATTCTAATTGCTAAAGTGCATATGGAAAAGAATAGATTATTTTCTCTGAGTCTTAAGACAATTAATGCAAAGTGTTTGAAGGCTAATATGCAAGATGAATCATGGTGTTAGAACATGCGATTTGTGCACTTGAATTTTGAAGCGCTCAAAAAATTGGGAGAAAAGAACATGGTACATGGGATACCATCAATCAACCATCTCAATCAATTGTGTGAAGCTTGTCTTCTTGGAAAACATGCAAGGAGGAGTTTTCCAAAAGAGGCCATGTGAAAATCAACCAAACTGCTCCAGCTTGTTCACACTAATGTATGTGGACCAATCAATCCACCTTCCTTTGGTAAAAGTAAATTCTTTCTGCTTTTCATTGATGACTTTAGTAGAAAGACTTGGGTTTATTTCTTGAACCAAAAATCTGAAGCTTTTGCTGCTTTTAAAAATTTCAAAGTACTTGTAGAAAAAGAAAGCGGCTATAAAATAAAATCTTTAAGGTCCGATAGAGGAGGCAAATTCACTTCAAAAGAATTTAATGACTTCTGTTAGTCTCATGGAATTTGCCGCCCTCTAACAGTACCTTATTCACCCCAACAAAATAGAGTTGCAGATAGAAAGAATCGAACGATTCTTAATATGGCTAGATGTATGTTGAAAGCTAAAAGTATGCCCAAGGAATTTTGGGCCAAAGCTGTTTCTTGTATAGTTTATTTGAACAACATGTCTCCAACAAGAAATGTTAAATATCAAACCCCTCAAGAAGCATGGAGTGGAAGAAAACCAAGTATCAAGCACTTGAGAATCTTTGGGATCATAGCCTATGCTCATGTGCCACAACAAGGGAGAGAGAAGCTTGACGATCGGAGTGTCAAGCATGTGTTTGTTGGCTATGATACAAGTTCAAAAGGCTACAAGTAATACAACCCAAGCAACGGCAAGGTGGTAGTAAGTCGCGATATTGAATTTGATGAAGAATTGGCATGGAATTGGGAAGCTCACGAAGAAATTTCATATGATTTTCTTCCATACTTTGGTGATGAAGAAGAACCAGAGACTGTGGAACATGTGCAGGATACAACTCCACATCCTTCTCCAACCAATATTGCATCTCCCTATTCCCAAGAAAGTTCAAATAAACAGCCGCAAAGGACAAAGAGTATTCATGAGATCTATGAGGACACAAAAGAAGTTACTAATTTTGATTTTTTATATTGTCTCTTTGCTGAGAGTGAACCAATGAACTTTGATGAAGCTGTTACAGACAAGAGGTGAAGACAAGCCATGAAGGAGGAGATCGATTCAATAGAGAAGAACAACACTTGGGAGTTAACAACTCTTCCCAAGGGTCATCGCGCAATTGGAGTAAAATGGGTATACAAGACAAAGAAGAATGCTGATGGAGATGTGAAGAGATACAAGGCACGACTTGTGTCTAAAGGCTACAAGCAAAGGCAAGGCATTGACTATGAAGAACTCTATGCACCTATTGACCGCATGGAGATGATTCGTTTGCTGATCTCTTTGGTGGCGCAAAGGAAGTGGAAGATCCATCAACTAGACGTCAAGTCAGCCTTCTTGAATGGATATCTTGAAGAATAAGTCTATATTGAACAACCATTTGGCTTCGTAGTCAAAAACCATGAAGATAAAGTGCTGAAGTTGAACAAAGCTTTATATGGATTGAAGCAAGCCCGATGAGCATGGAATAGTTGCATCGATAAGTATTTTCAAGACAATGGGTTTACTCGTTGTCTCCGTGAATATGCTCTTTACCTTAAAGTTCATACTAATGGAGATATCTTGCTTGTTTGTCTTTATGTTGATGATCTTATTTTCACGGATAATAACCCAAGTTTATTTAAAGCTTTTAAGAAATATATGTCCCGTGAGTTTGAGATGACATACGTAGGGCTCATGTTATACTACTTGGGCCTAGAAGTGAAGCAGATGGAGGATGGAATTTTCATATCTCAAGAAAGCTATATGAAGGAGATCTTGAAGAAGTTCAACATGCTAGATTGCAACACCGTGAATACACCGATGTAGAGTGGGACAAAATTATCCAAGCTTTATGAAAGTCTTGTGGGAAGTTTGAGGCACTTGAGTTGTACCAGGCTAGATATACTCTTTGTAGTTGGACTAGTAAGATGCTTCATGGAAGCTCCTACCTCCATCCATTTGAAAGTCACTAGAAGAATTCTTCGTTACCTAAAAGGTACAATTGACTTTGGGCTATTTTATTCCTCTTCTAGTGATTTCAACCTTATGGAATTTTGTGATAGTGATTATGCGGGAGATATTGATGATAGAAAAAGCACAACTGGTTTTGTATTTTTTTTGGGTGATTTTGTTATTTCTTGGAGTTCAAAGAAACAACCAATTGTTACTCTCTCGACTTGTGAAGCTGAATATGTAGCAACAACATCTTGTACGTGTCATGCTATTTGGTTGAGAAGATTGTTGAAGGAGCTCAATTTATCACAAATTGAAGCTACAGAGATTTGTATTGACAACAAGTCCGCACAGGCACTCGCGAAGAATCCGGTGTATCTTGATCGAAGCAACCATATAGACACAAGATATCACTTCATCAGAGAATGCATTGCCAAGAAGGAAGTCGAGCTCAAATATGTGAAGTCTCATGATCAAATTGCGGATATCTTTACAAAGCCCCTCAAGTTTGAAGATTTTTACAGATTGAGATCAAGAATTGGAATGAAGAAGAAAAAATAAAATTAAGGGAGAGATTTGTGGGACCAGCCCCAAATTAAAAAGAAAGAAAGAATTACAAGTTACAATGGCAACTTGTTTGCAATAAGGGCGGCTGAAAATAAAGATGCAAGTTGCAACCAAAACAATGTTTGGACGATGCAAATTGCAAAGAACCAATCAATTTGATTAGGTGAGAGGTTGGCAACTTTGCCTATAAATAGAGATACTTCCCTCTCGGTTTAACACACCAAAACAAAGAGAAGTAGTAAAAGTTAGAAAGAGTAATCCACAGATTGTAATCTGTGAGATAAATAGTGAATGTCAGTAATATTGTAGTGAGGTATTTTAAATAAAGAGTATTATTTCTTTCAAAATTGTAGTAGTCTCTTGACACTACTAAGTTGTAATATTATAGTTGTAATATTGCTCTGCTCGGGTATTGTATTTACCTCGCTAAAAGAGTTGGTGTATGTCGTTGTTACTCTCTTGTATTATTATTATTTTTCATGGATATTATTTTTGGGCTGGATTATTATTTTTCCCAACATTCACTTTATTTTTCCTCCCTTTTCGATGTATTATTTGATTAAGTGCAAGTATGCAACTCATTCTTCGAAAGCTTGCAAGCTTAAAAGTCTGCCAATCAGCTTTACCTGCCCTTATCAATACATCCTCTATCAAAGGTATCACATGCACAAGTATCTGTGTGCATGATATCAGCTTCATATGGATTTCGTACCTAGAGTTAATTAGCTTAGTTTAGTGCAGCTCAATTTGCATATAGTTGCATAGATCATATCATTTATCATGTATGCATTCTTTTTAGTAAAAGATCTGTCACAGAGGCATTTAAGAATGGGTTTAAAATGCTTATGGGGTTTAAGGGGACTCACTCCCTTACTTTATGTGTAGATTTTGAGATTCTGAAGCAGATATCGCAGTGGCCTGAGTCTTCGCTATTCTTGAGAACAGCAGTGGTGAGCCTTTCACATTAATTATCTGTGGAGGGCATCTTGGGTTTATGTCTTGTTCACTTTTATTGGATGCTATCCCGTTTCAATTATACTTAGATATTTTGATGCTCCATATATTATTTGGGTTATGGGATTCTTTTGGCTGGTAATGTTGTTGTTATTATCTGAATTGATATACTATCTACCTCAATCACATCAGATGCATGTTATATGTTATATTGCTATACTCGTTTGGAAATGCTATTTAAGGGTTTGTATAATGGGTAATAGCTCATTAACTGTTGGTCACAATTCGACAATGTCGAATCACAACAAAATATTAAAGTTTCGAGAGTAAGAAATAAAACATACATTCTCTGTCCAAAAAGGACGCAACCTCTAATTTTTAGTGTAAACTTGAATATATAATTTTTTAAATCTATTTGAAGTACAATTTACAAATTAAAAATGACATAATTCTTCCGTTTTATTTTATGTGACATATTTATTATTTGAAGAATCAAATGAAATAATTCTTTTTTGATAAGATTTTTACAAGTTTTTTAAATTGTTTTTAACTTGCTAACTACTGTGACTTTGTTTACCCTTGAAACGGATAAAAATTAAATTTATACGCGATTTTAAGGATATGTGAATTGATTCAATACAAGTAATTAAGGAAGTTAGATCAACGAATTAAGGACAAAAATAAATAACCAAACCAGTTGTGACGCTGAGCCGGGCTCGGATTTAAGCTAAACGATAGTTATGCCCTCCGTCGAATTCTCGGTTCGAAGCCAGATATGTAAGAAGAACTATGATTAAAATAAGAACTTTTCAATAGCTAGAAAGCATAGAAAATAGGTTTGTATTTTTTTGATATACGTGTTACAATGTGTCTATTAAATAAAAACTACCCCCTTTATATAGTAGGAGAAATTCACCCCTAGTACAATTCTAAGTAAGGTAAAAAATCTTCTTTTTCGTTAATCACTGATCCGCTGTCGATACGGGCCGAGATCTGCGCCGTGATATCCGATGGGGTGCTGATATCGTGGCCCTCTATTTGTCGTGTGTTAACCGTTATCGTATTTTCCGAGGTCTTGGAGCTCGTTCTAGGATCGGAGAAGTAATGTCTTACCAAGCCCGGTGGCAACCACTCCGTTCGGACCTTAGTACGACGTGCTCCGGCTTTGATTCGGACCCCATATAATCATGCCTTTGCTTTGTTTGACCCACCGAAAAATGGGGGTGTAGGTTGCCCCCGGTTTTACTCATATACAGATAGTCCCCTCCTTTTTCAGAGAGTAGGTTTATCGAAATGATGGAAAACGATAGATGTTTCCCGATTCCTTCATTCGTACGTTACAACTGAAACAACAAAGAAGCCTAAACGTCCCATCAGTCGTGTCGTTCTGACTGCGGACACATGTCAACCATCAGCCGGTCGCCCTCGAATGCAAAACGTCGCATACTTCCTGTAAGGACCCGTAAAAATTTAAACCAAAAACTCTGGGTTTCGTACTTCCAAGATAGATTCCTGCATTATTATAGTAGAAATTCTTCGCGGCGAGCTACCTCGCTACGGTTCAAACTTTTTGGATTGAACAGTACCCCACAGACTTAGAGGAAAATATTTTGCAGAAGAACGTATTTCTGCGGCCCATTATGCGGCCGCATAATCACTCTGCGGACCGCATAATGGCCGCAGAGTGAGGCAATAAGTTTGGCCAACTTGAGGTCAGTTTTGCAGTCGATTATGCGACCGCATAATCGATATACGGACCGCATATCGGTCGCATAATTACTCTTGGGTTTTTGCGGAGGGAGTTCTATGGTGCATTATGCGACCGCAGAACGAGTATGCGGACCGCATACTGGTCGCATACCTGAGCCGTAAGTTCAGGCCCCTGAGGGCCATTTCTGCAGTCACTTTGCAGACCGCATAACAGTTATGCGGTCGCATATGCGACCGCAGACCTGTGTCGGGGCATCCATTTTCTTAATTTAAAACCCGACCCCCATTCCGTTAAAACAACCCTTCAACCTATTTTGAGCTCATTTTCTGATACTATAGAGTGAGAGAGGGAGTTTTAGAGTGAGAAAGTAATCCTCATCAATTATTCTTCAATTCTTGCTTGAAACTTTGAAAATTATCAAGGAAAATAATCTAGGCCTCCATCCTAGAGGTAAGAATCTATACCCTAGCATAGATGGGTGTGAGGGTTGTTTATCTTGCATGCATATGATAAAGAGTGTGAGAAAAATAAGAAGTGAACTAGAACCATGAACGTTTTCGTAATTTTGGGTTCAATTTGTATATTGCTAAAATAAATTGAGGTTGCTAAGGGTTCCGGATAATTGTAGAATCTAAAGAAGCGCAATTGAGGTATGTATGGCTAACTCTTTTCTTCTTAGAATCGAACTCGTGGTATCCGAATAATTGGTGTAAGTTCTAACTTGATCATTCTAGAATTGTTTGCCTTAGTGTGTTGAATTGAAAGATTCATGTTCCCTAATTGTTTTAGATGGTTACCATGTCATCATGCTATTTGAGAACGAAATCATGATTTTCCAAGCTCCTTTCCCTATGTGTGAAATGCATTATGTGATGGTACTTATCAATATGAGTAATGATGTTATTTGAACGAATACAAAAGGAAAGACTTGAATTGTAAAATAGTCCCAAGTGCCAAGAACTACTTAATAAATGAGGTTGTTTGTGCCATGTAACGAAAGATGGGAAAGAGATGTGAATTGAGTGAGCAATTGAAAGAGGTTATGTCTCAAGTGAGATGGCTTAGCCGATCGGGCCGAGATCGGACGCCATGCTGTACATGTGATGGCATTTGTGTTAAAATTATTGATTTACATTGTGGATATAGATATGTCTCACTTGAGATGGCTTAGCCGAGACCGGACTCCGTGTAAAAATACAGTGGCATTATGAGTTGTGGATTTGGCACTAAAGATTATTAACCTAAAAAGATGGAAAGATTGAATTGGAAATTATGTGATCCTTAATTGGTGTTTCCTTGTATTTCTGTAAAGTACTTATTGATTTTTATCACTGCCTTCTCTTTGTTTCATTGTTCATTCTACTAAGATTGGTGTTTGCCTTACATATTAGTACTATTCGACAGTACTAACGTCCCTTTTACCGGGGGCGCTACATCTTTGGATGGATGTAGGTGGTTCCGTCGCAGATAATGCCGATCGCAGATAGTGGTGCTCTCTTTCTCTCCTCACAGCAGTCTTGGTGAGCCCCATTCCTCCGAGGGTTCATGTAGTCCTTCTTTTGTATAAGTTTTCATATTTTGAGGTATAGCCGGGGCCTTGTTGCCGGCATTGTCATGTTGCTCATTTGCACCCTTAGAGGCTCCGTAGATGTTTATGTAGGTCATGTATGTATGTTGGGGTGGTCGTTGGATCGAGTTGTATTTTGGAAACTCAACTATGGCATAATATATATAAGGAAAAAATGAACTAGCAACGTTTCTATATTTATATAACTAATCTCTCTCCTGTTATACAAATGGTGAAGCGATCCCTTTTTGGATTATGAATGAGTCGGGTAGGAATGGTTTATTAAGCTTGCTCGATCGGGTTCACTCGGTCGAGCGCCGGTCGTGCTCCCTGAGGTTGGGGCGTGACAAACTTGGTATCAGAGCTTAAGGTTTTAAAGTGTCCTAGGATATCTCGAAGACGTGTCTAGTAGAGCCCTTCTTATCGGTGTGTTGTCGACCATATCTATATTTAGGGGGCTACTTGGACATTTAAGAATGATACCCTTCATTGTTGTTCTATATCGTGCGATAGAGCGGAACGTGAGGTTGTTTTCCCCTAACTCGTGCATTGTTCTAACTTTCGATAAATGGCACCTAAGAAGAGAGCGAGAATTGGCCAAGAAGCCAATACCACCCCAGGAGTGGTTGTTAATCCCTTACTTGATAATGCGAGTGAGGATAATCCCCAAACTATCCCACTGCCTGATTCGTCTACTCCAGAACAGACTACCCCAGTTCCTACACCCGCGGAGGATGCCACAATCCCTCCCGCCGATATACCTGTTCCACCTCCAGCCCCAACTCCTGGTCTCGGTATTTCCGATGGGGATCTTAGAGGAGCTATTCAGATGCTAACTCATTAGTAGCTTCCCAAGCTCAGAGGTCAAATGTTGCACCCACCTCATTTAGCTTGCAAGGAGATTCTTCCGGTTCCAGGGTAAATAGGTTCCTTCAGTTAGACCCTCTTGTGTTCACAGGTACTGATCCCGGGGCAGACCCTCAGGATTTTAATGATGAGATGCATAAGACTCTCCGAGTTATGCGTGCTACGGAGACATAAGGAGTAGAGTTGGCCTCTTATCATCTGAAAGGGGTGGCATATTCCTGGTTTGAGATGTGGGAGGATTCCCGTGAGGAGGGGAGCCCTCCGGCGGGATGGAGTGAGTTTGCGGATGCCTTCATAGATCATTTCTTTCCTACCGAGACTAAGGCAGCCCGTGCTGTGGAGTTTGAGACCATTAAATAGGGTAGTAAGAGTGTGTGGGAATATCACATGGAGTTCGTGCGCCTGTCAAAGTATGCCGCTCATATGATGCCGACTATGGAGACTAGGGTGCGTTGATTTGTGCAGGGCCTTAGCCCTTTGGTTATTAATGAGGCTGCCACAGCTGCTCTAAATTTTGACATGAACTATGGGAAGATGGTGGCATTTTCCCAAGCTACTGAGGCTCGAAAGTTAAAGTTCAGGATGGAACGGGAAAGTTGTAGTAGGGCCTGATCAGCGGGCAACCTTGGGGATTCATTCGGAGGTGGGAGATCATCTTTTCAGGGAGGATCATCAAGGCCACCACAGTCTTATGCCCAGTGTTCAGCTAGTGCCCCGCCATCAGGGCACGGTCAGCAGCAAGGGAGTCACTTTAGGCCCGGTCAGGGCAGCAGGGGGTCCCACCATCAGGGCTGATCAGGAGGGAGATTCCAGCAGCAGCAGAGGGCCCCATGCCCTAAGTGTGGGAGGGTACATTCGGGAGTCTGCTACCTAGACATGCCAGTATGTTACGGATACGGGATGAGAGGTCATATTCAGAGGGATTGTCGTGCATCCTGTCAGGGTACAGGCAGGGGCACAGCTCAGTCATCCAGTCCTACAGCTGCTACATCTTCAGCACCCCCTCCAGCTCGAGGTTCTCAAGCACCCACAAAGCGTGGTGCAGCTAGGGGTGGTGCACAGAG